CAATACTATAATAAGCTGTGCTTGTGTGTGTACTCACAAGACTGATAGCTTAATGACACTGTACTGTTTCTGTGTCTCCCTGTTAAAGCTCGCTTGGTTAAGTCCATTACCACAGGGTGCTGGCTGTGCAGCATAGATGTAGATTACGATAAGACCTTAATACTCTGAGACACCTTCCCCTGTCTAAACCCCCTGCTCCTCCACCTCAACCCATGGTGTCCCCTCCATCGAAGCCTCCTCTCACCTCATCCACTCTTCCTCTGGACTCTTGAAGACACAGTGACCCATCAAGCAGCTGCCATGAAAACTGCTCTCGCCCTGCTGCTGCTCATCTCTCTGGCCTGCCACAGTAAGTTTCTATAACACTGATACCAACACTGGATTTTGGGTTTTCAGCCATGGGGAAGGATTTAGTTGATAAGTAGCTGGAAGATTCATTGCTGAGAGGTTACAGAAGCACTGTGATACAGAGGACCCAGGATTTCTCTGCTCTAAAAGCAGACATGGGCAAGCACAATGTGGGACATTTTCTATAAAAATACGTCATGATTTAAACCTGCAATGTTCGTATGATGCACATGTCTACTTAGTTTACAATAAATGTATCCTGCATAGTAGACAAATGTATACAATAGAGCAATTGAACAGTCTGTTGAGACATGTAGCAGCTTTGTTTGTGTACAAATGAGTCATAAAGTCTATTCAATGTAAGCAAGCTAGTTTGTGTGTGTGTGTGTGTGTGTGTGTGTGTGTGTGTGTGTGTGTATGCATAGGGATCTGAAAGACCTAATGAGAACATAATGGTTGTGTGTCTGCATGCTTACACCTACCTGTGAACATACAAGCTTAGTCTCAAGTCAGGTGCTCTCTCCTGTTCTGTCTGTAAAGGCCACGCCCTCAAATGTCACACGTGCGTGGCGTCCAATGAGGACGATTGCAACCGCCAGGGCTCCACCACTTGCCCTCAGTACGCTGACGCCTGCTCCACCATCACAGGAAGCAGTGAGTAAATACACACCAAGGAAAGCATGCAACACAAGTGTGATTTGGTTGAATTGTAAAAACTTCGCTAGAGGTCAGCATAACTCTAACATCCCACTGCGTGTGAGGTAGCAGTTAAAACAGTGCTCTTGCTGTTTCTATTGACAAAGAAGAAGTCAGTATAAAAACCCACAATGCAAAACCTTTGTTTTTTTAAAGGTAGCCAGTCCTGTTGCTAGATTTCATCAATGACAGTTTTTCATAACCACAGAACTCTGTATGCCCATATGCGTGTGTGTGTGTGTGTGTGTGTGTATGTGTCTGTGGTAAGTAAAAGCGAGAGTTCACTGGGTTCAGCCTCACACCAAGTTTAAACAAGTGGTCAGTCTTCAGTCACTTCAAAACAAATCTGTGAACGTCTGCTAGCCTCACCCGCCCTCTCTTTCCAGACACTGTGATGAAGTCGTGCTCGTACAAGGCTTTCTGCGACAAAGCTCACGGCAGCAGCTCTGGGGCCAAGATGGAATGCTGCTTCGGTGACGACTGTAACGGGCCCCACAGGAGCCACAGCTACGGGAATCACCGCCTCAACGGAGCAGGGGCTCTGGCCTCCAGCCCTATCCTGCTGATTACGGCCCTGCTGCTGCGTATAGCCTTCAGTCAGTGATTCATCATCTCCTCCTTATCTGTTTCTTCCAGTCGTGTGCAATGTTGTCCATCCATCCACCCTCTCCTCTCTGTCACTGGGCCTCTCAGAGATTTTTAATCCAAGTTTAGAGAAAGGATTTCAGAGGAGTGGCAAAGATTTTTAAGTGGTTAAAGACCAAAAGGTGTGTTTCTGACGACTGTGTTGGTGCAGTGAGGGAGTGTCCCACAAACACAAGCTTTTTATTCAGCGCCTTTGGTTGTGTAATTTTTTTTTTTATCATCATCAAAAACTTGAATAGTAACCTCCTTTTCTATAGTGGTATGCTCACTTTCAGGTGATATAAAGCTATAAAGAAACCTGTGAACCAGAAAGTCTGGGGAATAAATGCGTACAAAGTGAAGTGCACCTACCACTGGTTTTGGTACAGCCGGTGGGACTCAGGTGTGGTTTTGGTAGGTGCTGGGGTGTCTCAGTGGGTAGCTAGTGCACAGCTCGCTTGACACCATAGAACCACATTATTCAGCTGTGTCGTTTCCATGGCAACCAGAAAGGAAGCCAAGTATTTCAACGCCACAATCTTAGGAAAATGTTTTGTACACTTTTGTAATTAGCGCTTGAATTGTTCTTTTTTTTGTGCATGCAAGCTTGTCTGAATAAAGATAAAAATCACACCTTTACTTTTGTGTGTGTGCAGTGTGTGTGCAGCGTGTGTGCAGCGTGTGTGCGCAGCGTGTGGGTAAGATCACCTTGCTGTGACATTTAACACCCCACACCTGACCTTCAAAAGCCAGAGAAAAGATATTTGTGTTTATGTTAATGTCCCTGATTGTAAAGGAACACATACAGTAGAGAGAAAATGGTGTGACAGTCTATGATTTTCAGCAGAAACAGAGGGGTCTGTGGAAACTTCAGGACTTCCTTCTGCAACTGTGTAACTTGAATCCTGTGCAGTCGCCACAGGATATGAAATCAGCGAGGTAGGTCTCCATCCTCAGGCAGGTCATATGACATGCAACCACTTCCTCTTAACAGGAGGCCGCAAATTTAACCAAAAGGATTTAGAATCAAATGCAGTCTGCTGTAAATGCAGACGTGTATTATTTCAGCACTTGTAAAGGTGACAGGCTCAGCACTAAGGGAGACTGTACGTGTGTAAAAACTCTAAAGCCAGACTCTTGTTTCAGCACAGGGCCTGTTGTGTAAAGGTGGGATAACAAATGAAGCAATACTGTACTTACAGTAAGTATTTAAGTAGAATACAGTCTGAGGTGCTTTACATTTTGTGAGACACATTTTACACAGGAATATTGTACTTTTTACACCACAACTTTTGTGTGATGTTTGCAGATTAGGATTTTACATAAAAGCACAAGATAAACTCAGACAATAAAATGGATTGCTGGTTTAAATTATAAGGTTGTTAATCCAAATACCCCCCTTGATCACCTACAATATTAGACACTATTTTATAAATATGTATATATATGGTATCTCATCAAAGTGAGTACACCCCCCCACCCCTGGTGTCATGTGACTCGTTAGTGTCCCAAGGTCTCAGGTGTGAATGGGGAGCAGGTGTATTAAATTTGGTGTTGTCGCTCTCCCACTCCCTCATACTAGTCACTGGAAGTTCAACATGGCACCTTATGGCAAAGAAAAAAAGAATTGTTGCTCTACATAAAGACAGCCTAGGCTATAAGAAGATTGCCAAGACCCTGAAACTGAGCTGCAGCACGGTAGCCAAGACCATACAGTGGTTCAACAGGACAGGTTCCACTCAGAGCAGGCCTCGCCATGGTCGACCAAAGAAGAGGAGTGCAAGTGCTCTGTGTCATGTCCAGAGGTTGTCTTTGGGAAATAGACGTATGTGCTGCCAGCATTGCTGCAGAGGTTGAAGAGGTGAGGGGGTCAGCCTGTCAGTGCTCACTGTATCAAATTGGTTTGAATGGCTGTCGTCCCAGAAGGAAGCCTCTTGATGCCTCTGATGCACAAGAAAGCCAGCAAACAGTTTTCTGAAGACAAGCAGTCTAAGGACATGGATTACTGGAACCATGTCCTGTGGTCTGATGAGACCAAGATAAACTTATTTGGTTCAGAAGGTGTCAAGCATGTGTGGTGGCAACCAGGTGAGGAGTACAAAGACAAGTGTGTCTTGCCTACAGTCAAGCATGGTGGTGGGAGTGTCATGTTCTGGGGCTGTATGAGTGCTGCCGGCACTGCGGAGCTACAGGTCACTGAGGGAACCATGAATGCCAACATATACTGTGACATACTGAAGCAGAGCATGACCCCCCCCCTCCCTTCGGAGACTGGGTCACAGCCGGGCAGTATTCCAACATGATAATGACCCCAAACATACCTCCAAGATCATTACTACCTTGCTAAAGAAGCTGAGGGTAAAGGTGAAGGACTGGCCAAGCATGTCTCCAGACCTAAACCCTATTGAGCATCTGTGGGGCTTCCTCAAATGGAAGGTGGAGGAGCGCAAGGTCTCTAACATCCACCAGCTCAGTGATGTCATCATGGAGGAGTGGAAGAGGACTCCAGTGGCAACCTGTGAAGCTCTGGTGAACTACATGACCAAGAGGGTTAAGGCAGTGCTGGAAAATAATGGTGGCCACACAAAATATTGACACTTAGGGCCCAATTTGGAAATTTTCACTTAGGAGTGTACTCCCTTTTGTTGCCAGCAGTTTAGACATTAATGGGTGTGTGATGTGTTATTTTGAGGGAACAGAAAATTTTCACTGTTATATAAGCTGTACACTCACTACTTTACATTGTAGCAAAGTGACATTTCTTCAGTGTTGTCACAGGAAAAGATCAAATTTAACTGAGCAGTTAAATCAATTAATAAAATGTGAAAATGTGCATGTTTTTAATGCTTAGGAAATGTTACAGATTGGTTTGATGACAAGAAATTTAGATTCCTGACCTCAGGATTTCTAAAATACTGGTTAACACTTGGTAGGGAGGGAGTCTTTTTTTTTTTTTATGGCACCACTGGGTTTTAGCGCATCACTTTACACCTGTCAAACACTGGCATCCGCATGGCAGGTGTATGAATGACCCTATTCTTCTGTGTTCCTGTTTATCCAGGTTTACACTCCCGTCCTACGCTCAATTATATTAACTAACTGATTCAGGTGTGTGTGTGACCCAGTTCTCAAGTTGCCACCTGAGAGAAGAGATAACGTGTCTCACGCAGTTGCAGGAAGATACTGCGCAGGTTTTATTTATTTTCTAAAAAACAAAACTCACTAAAAAGAGCACAGGCTGAACAAATGTTCAAAATGTAAGGAAGAGGTGCTGCATCACTTATTACGTTAAAATGAGGGGAGGAAGCAGAAATTTGGCCTATTGAGCTCACTTTAGTTCCTCTTCTGAGAGAAGAACAGCAGCAGAGAGGAGGAGGAGGTGACAGGACGCATAGATCACATCCGGGGCTGGTTTATTCTAATAACGAAACGTCCAACCCGGAAAAAAAGACAACTCTTCTGTAATCCGATCACACAAACAAACAGACGAGTGTGTGAGACGCACGCGGGACTTGTGAATGTGCGTTGCTTGTAAAACTTATTAAAACTTTATTCACCATGCTCGTATTTACCAAACTCGGGCTTCTCTGCTTCGTAGTCGTGCGGGGCGCTGGCTGTGGCGCACACTGACTCTCCACGGCGGGTAAGTAGTCAGTCGACAGTGGCACTTTGTGTGTGTGTTGCCTCATGCTTGTGTGTGTATATCTGAGCGGATGGTACAGTGCAGTAGGTGTGGTGGGCCGTTGAGTCGTCGGATCTGATGAGTCAGCGCAGGTCATCTGAGCTGAACAAATGTGATATCTGTCCTGTTACCCTGAGTACCAGATCACATTTCCACTTTTCATCGCATGCCCATAATCACGTTATATGTGACCGTGATCTTTAGACTGGCAATTCAGTGGCGTGAAACCTGTGCCTACCCTGGTGCTGCTGTGGTCAGTAGTGTGTGAATATCCAGCAGTAACGTTTCAGTCAATGTTGAAAAATGCCTGTCACTAGCTTCTCAGGGTCCAAGGTAACGTCTAGGCTACAGAGGACTTGTTTTGTCTAACCATCAGTCCAAAACCCAAAGATTTCCTGTTTTATGTTTAATTTTGAGGTATTGTATTTGAGTAATTCTATTTTACCACATTTCAGAGGGAAATTTTAAACCACTACATTTATTTTACACTTATTTTCAAATAAAAAGTTTACACACTAAACATTTGTGTTGTGGGGAGGGTGGCTGAACCTTGTGGTTCACTTTGTAAAAAGGTAAGGCCTTCCCCAGCCTTATTAAAATGTTCAGTAGACTCATCCCTTGACTTGACATCCTCCCCTCAAAAGAATATAACACTGCTGAATTGGTACAACTCATTAATCATAAACACAACTAAAATTCACATTAGAAATAGAATAAACATAGAATAGTGCATCCCAAACCTTCCAGCTGCTCTTATTTTTAAACAAAGAGCTACTAACTTCAATGAACTGGGACAATCAGCAGCTCAAGGATGAAATAAAATGTAAGATGAGACAAGATTTTAAATGCCCTCACCTGCTCTTCCATAAATGTCAGACTACCCTCATTTAGCAAAAAGAAAACATAGCATAACACCCCTTTTTCTGACCCCACTCCTAATAATTTGTGTACAGTCCCTAAAAATACAAGGCAGTGTTATATGAAGTTGTTTAAATGAGCTTTAACTCAACCACCTACAACACTGACGTAAAGTTTGTTAATGCATCAATAATATCAGTAATATTTCAATTGTCAGCCAATCCTTACAGCGGAGAAGCTTGGACGAGGGAATGTTTGACCTTTTTGTTTGTAAAGGGATGACGGATTCATGTTCAGTCAATCGAATTATCGATTCAGCTCTAAGTTAAAGTGGTACTCCATAATGTTTTCTGTGGCTCTGGAGAGAAAATTAGCCTTGTGGTTCCTTGTTTTGGGCATCTCTAAAAAGGGATATCTGCATATAAATGCAGAACCTGTAGGCAAGCAATACAATTTGCTATCAGGAGCCTTCAGGTAGAAGGTCCTAGTGAAAGATGCTTCTACTGGGTACTGAGTTGCTTTCAGGAAAGTGTAGGATTGAATGTTTGTGGAGCCTGTCTCAAAGTCAAGATATCTCAGCCTGCTCTGCATTTTTTGCCCATTCTTTTGTTTTTCCTTAGTAAAAGAAGTACCTAACAAAATTGCTCGAGTGTAACTGACAGTTAGATGTTACACAAATAAAGCAGATGTGTAAACTGAGTGTAGGTGGGTTTCACTTCATTGCCCTGGATGTGGTAAAAGACAATGACACTGATATCACTGCTGTGATCTGTACACCGTGTTCACACACTAAAACTTTATATTAATAATGGATATCCTGTATGTGTGTGTTGTGCTACATTTCAAAGCTGGCATACTTTAAATTTAATAAAATGCGCTAAAGGCTGTTTAAATTATAATTATTGGTAAAGTTTTGCCAAAGATGCCAAAACCTCACTGCCGCTTCTCACCGTAATGGTTTACTTGTGCATGTGGGGGGGGGGGGGGGGGGGGCAGTCTCAGCGTTGGCTCCGTGACCTGTGTGGCATCATTTCACTTTTCCATTTCACCCAGTTTGACTTTGACCTATTTCAATAGCAAAATGGCGCGCGACTGACGCATCAGAACACACATCACAGCCCACCAATTTTTCAAAGCAGTTTCAAAATGAAGTATTTTCCTAACCATTGACTTAAAAATAGTTTAACAGGAGTTCCTCCAGCACAGTGAAGATGCAGTCTGTTGTTATTTGTTTGTGTCTCTGTTTGTATCTGCTGTGTTGGATGACGTGCAAATGTTTTCATGGAAGTTTTTGATAATTTCCATCTCTTGAATGGTTTAAAGTCAAGACAGTCCTGTAAAAGTGCTGGCAGAGGGCTCAGCCATTGAGCCCTGATTATTTATTTTATATGACCGTCACGTTATGGTTCTTGTTCTTTATAAAAAAAAAATATCAGTCACAGATGTGGCCTAGTTAAGCATAAGTGTGTGTGTGTGTGTGTGTGTGTGTGTGTGTCTCTATATCTATCTTTATATATATATATATATATATATATATATATATATATATATATATATATATATATATATATATATATATATATATATATATATATATATATATATACACATAATGGGAAAATGTGCAGAAACCCTGATTTGCATTGTATAATAGAGCTTCAACCCCCATGCCCCCATACTTTGATGTACAGATGTCTGCCATAGATAAAATTCTCTTGGAGAGCAAACATTATCGGAATCTCTTCAGCATACCTGAGTGTCTGAGCTGAATGAGTCTTGATTTTGTTTTCAGTCAGCAGCTCAGTGATTCACATGGATGGCCTCATCTTAATGAATATATCACCCCAACCCCCCCCTCTCCTCTTTTTCCCATTCCTCCCTCCCTCCTCTCTCTTCTCTGGCCAGTGGAAATGTGCGTGTGTGCAGATCTTGAGTGCAGTCTGTAATTTTTGGCTGTGGTGGCGGGCCTCAGCTCAGCCTCGGGCTTCAGGGTTTGCTGCTCAGCCTCAATCACGTCACATGAAAAACTGCTGAGTGCAAGCGGGTCTCTTTCTTCCTGTGTGTGTGTGTGTGTGTGTGTGTGTGTGTTTGAACAGTAAATGAAAGATGGATTATCCTTCACATCTGCCTGTCCTATGAGTTTATCTCCTTTTGTTGCTCCCTTTACATTTAGCCTCTCGTTGTCAGTCTGACTTGAGTATCTGTCTTTCTATCTGTCCCAGTGATATGTGATAGCAGCAGCATGCCGTACTTGGACCGGCTGAACCGTGTATGTGGCTTCCTGGACATTGAGGAGAAGGAGAACAGTTGCCGCTTCCAGAGGCGATACTTCATCCTTGACACGCAGGGAAATGCTCTGCTGTGGTATATGGACAACCCTCAGGTGCTCCACACATGCATGCATGACAAACACTTGCACACACAGCAAGAGGAAGTGGCATTGATCAATAAGAGCCGTGTAACCTTGGACTCTGAGCAAATGACGAGTCTGTGTGTTTGTGTTTGCATGCAGAACCTGCCCAGTGGAGCCAGCTTTGTGGGCAGCCTGAAACTAACCTACATCTCTAAGGTAACTTAGCTTTGTCACTTCGCTGTGGTTTACAGTTACATAATCTCCCGCAAGATGTGGAAGAGACGTCTGAGCAAGGTGGACACAGGAATTCACACAAATAGAAACATAGATCAGAGTTATCTGTAGCTCTAGTTAACGGTTACATGCAGAAGCAGACTTTGTGAAGTTTTCCAGATGTCAGTGCTGAGCTAACCAGAGGTAATGACATCTGGCTTCACTGCACGGCAGCGCTGACAGCTCCTCCCTGGACACTCTGAGTCAAAAACACGTCAAAGATGTGAAGTGTTTCTTCTCTTCTCTAATTATGTCTACTATCCTTTCCTTTTGTTTCGTCTTTTCCTTTTGTCTACTTTTCTCTCATTTTGTCCCCTCTCCTGTCCTCTCCACTCTTCTCCTCTTCTTTTGTCTCATCTCGTCTCCTCTTGTCTCCTTTCCTCCCTTTTTGCTAGCTGCATGGCTAACTGAGCTAACTACCTTGCAGCAGCTAGTTAGCAGTTACTTTAGCAAGAAGTAAACTATCTGTCCTTCAGGAAACCCATCGATTTTGATTTCTTGGGGGCTTTAATTGTTGGAATATATGGCATGTGACAACACCCTTGTTAAAGTCTTTGGGAGTATAAAAACTGAAGACATTTTATTGTTCATTGTTGTAGATTATGATAAGCTAACGTCAGCTAACTAACTGAAACAATGTAACATGTAACCTACAATGTAACCTATTATGGTGCAGTTCTATACAGACATTACAACTATATTAATAAGGCTGCACTCCTAATAAGATGTGAAGTGCTTTGTGACTTTAACTCAACTGAAAATATACAGGATGAGTTGGTTGGCCCTCAGTGGGTCCTAGACAACTACCAACTGAAGAATCAGCACAAGCCCACATCTTCAGAGAGCTGAATGTTGCCCACAAGCATCCTCCTCCCATTCATACTTAAACAGAAATGAATGCGAGTAAGTGTGTGCTAGTAATTAGACACAGAACAAATAAACACGCACTAATACCGAGTTCCTTTTAGGACTGATCAATAAAACAATAATGATAAATATCGCAATATAATTTTCCTCAATAACAATATAATAAATGTTCAATATATCGTCAATAAATATTTGGTTTAATTAATCTGAATCACAAATAAATTAGCACTTCATTTTTCAATTACAATATTTATTTTGTCTACTGTTTTGCATCAAGTGTTTGTCACATTATGACCATAAAGAAAAGTTTAACCAAACAATTAACTGTCTGGTTTCTTCAATTTTCACTCAGGATCAAAAATCAACCTTTAAACTTGAAAGAAATAATGATTTGATATATATCGTGATAATTATCCATATCGAATGATATGTATATGTGATATGTATATGTGATAACACGATTTTTGGCCATATCGCCAAGCCCTAGTTCCATTGACATAATAAATAAAGAATGCACCTTACTTATCACTGATTATTTTAAAGAAAGAACAGCTCGATGAAAGACTGCATGCTCTTACTTTAAAAAGGGGAAATTACTTCATCAGCAGGCTATCCGAAAATGGCCGTGTGGTACGAGTTGTTTAGACTGTGGGTTTAGAGTTTGTCTCACAACTCCAAGATCCACAAATAAAGACTAGATCCACAAATGACTGTTCAAAAGTTGTAAATGTTAGGAAGATAGTCACAAATGTTTTTTCATTTATTTTTAAATGAATTTAATGTGTTCAGAGATATTTTTTATTTATGGAATTTGTTTTTTTGTATTTACAGATCCATTTTATATTTGTAAAATATTTTTTGAGTTTACAATTTTTTTTTGTATTTGTGGAAGTGTTGCCGATTAAACAGATTGTCCATCTGTTCACACAAATAATCTTGAGACGGGTTGATCTCCATAGTCTCCTGTCCTCACTTCTCCTCTTCTCAGGTGAGTGAAGCTACAGCGAAGCAAAAGCCCAAGACAGAGTTCTGCTTTGGTGAGTTTTTTGGGGAAACACTGAGTCCTGCTCATGCAGTACCGCACAATTGCATAAATTTTATTTACACGCGATAATGATAGAATGCGGTTATTGTGGATATTCATGGCGCTGGTGTCTGTTTTTGAAGTCATCAATGCAGTTTCCCGGCGGTACTTCCTCCAAGCCAACGATGTGACTGATATGAGGGACTGGGTGGCCGCTCTCAACAGGGCCAGCAAGATCACTGTGAGTGCACACACACACACACACACACACACACACACACTATTATAACCAGATGTTATTGATAAGGGATTTGTTTACACCTGAGCGAAGGAAGCTTCAGTTTGGGGTGGTTTGACTGAAACCACTTAGACCCTGGCATCTGCAAATGGCTGCACATTGTCTACAAATACCCTCTCACACACTTGGTGAATGAGGTAATTGTGAATGTACATGAATATGGGAGATAAAACACACGTCACTGTGGTGAAGGTGTGATAACACCATTGTGAGTGTTTCAGTGAACATGCTGTGCACATTCAGTTTGTACATTTGCATAATATTTGTGTGTGTTTGCCGAGATGACCGGGGCCTTGTTGTCTGGTGACATCCAGATGTCTCATGACGGCAGATGACAGAGAAGACAGTTTCTCTTTTTCTCTCACCTGCACACTGACACAGGAAGCAGCACTGCTCACTCTCTCTTTCACTTCCCCTTCAAAGGGAGGTCTTCTCTGCCGCCTTTTCTGAGCTTCCTTGGCCTATATGAAACCTTTTGTCAGAAATACTTCCTAAAGCATAATTGAACTGATGTAAATGCAGGAATGAATGTAAAGCACTGACTAATACATTTCATAGTTATTTACGGATATGGTACGGTCCTTCACATGCTTTTTCGATTATTAGATTCACATACATATTAGGAGGTTAAAAAAAGTTTATACTTGGTATATTATTATTATGTATTTGGCATTTTGCCTTTATGGGCAGCTTACTGTGAAAATACAGACAGGAAGTATGAAGAAAAAGCGAGAGAGGGGTTTGACATATAACAAAAGTCTCCAGCCAAAATTAAACTGAGACGCTGCAATTATTTGATGTATGTCTTAGGTCAGGATGACCATTATTACTTTTTTTAATATTTAAGTTAGTGTAGATAGTATTTTCTTTTGCTGAGTTTTTTGTTGTTTTTTATGAATTGGGCAGCCCTAAAGGCACCTCAGCTTTAGGAACAAGAGAGGTGTGTGTGTATGTGTGTGTGTGTGTGTGTGTGTGTGTTTTCATGCAGAACATATTACAGTTGCACTGTTGCAGCATGGAGACTCCCAGTGGGAACGAAACTGCTGACCGGCAATTTGTAGCAAACTTTACTCACCAAGCTCCGCTTGTTAATGTCATGCTTATTAACTTTATCCTACCTGTTGCTGTGCCGACAGGTTCCAAAGTCTGGCCCTGCACCTCCAAGGTCTGATGTGACCACAGTAATCAGTGACACTCAGGGAGGGAAGCGACAGCAGGCCTACAAGACGGAGATCATCGGTGGCGTGGTGGTGCACACTCCCATCCAGGTAATTAAGCGGAAGCTAAAAACCAATGTGGTTACTATAACGATGTTAAAGTTGATGCTGATGATGCTAAAAGATTTGTGTTAATGGTTGTCGTTTTTATCCGTTACGTTTATTTTACAGCAAAGGGAAACAGAGTACAGCTTTCCCTCTGTCTTCTGAAACCACTTTGTGTGTAATCTGATATTTTTTTTAAGATGGTGGTTACATGATTGTTGTAATCATAATGAAGATGGTGGTAATGAAATGTTTCAGAATGAGAGCGAAGAGACAGAAGGCAGAGAGAAGAAGGGCACCAGGCAAGGTGTGTTGAGGTGCGGTTATTGTGTCAAACAAGGAAATGTGGTGAGTGCCCAGCTACTTATAACTGATTACTCTGTGTTTGAATAAGAAAACATTGTGCAGAAACTGTAATGTGGTGTGTGTATGTGTGTTTCAGAGGAAGAGCTGGAAGAGGAGGTTTTTTACCCTGGATAACATTGCAGTTAGTTACTACAAGTCTGAGATGGTGAGGAGCATGACTTTTGTATTTCCTCTCACATGTTGATGGGAGTTTTTTAGTGTGTGTGACTGTGGTCTTTGTCTCTCCATGTCTGAATTGTGTCTACATATGTCCCAGGATAAGGAGCCTCTCCGAGCTGTTCCACTGAGGGACATTCAGAAGGTCCATGAATGTCTCGTCAAGTCAGGGTGAGTCAAATGTGAATCAGAGTCACATTCTGCAACCATTTTACTTTCTCTCCATCTGGTTCTCTCTAAACAAATACCAATATTCGGATAAGAACAAATTACACAAATTTTTGCTGTGTACTACGACGGAGTATTAGGACCACATTGACGATACATTTATTTATTTTTTTTAGAGATTTTGAGAATAAAACCGTAATATTATGAGAATAAAGTCGTAATTTTATGAGAATGAAGTATTATTACGAGAATATAGAAGGAATATTACAAGAGAAGTCATAGTATTACGAAAAATAAAGTCGTAATATTACGAGAATAAAGTTGTGTTTTTAAGCTACAGGTTAGGGGAAATATTAGAAGAGCAGCCTGCCGCCTCGTGAACGTGGAGAATATTGTGAAGTTATACTTCAGTATAGGTTTCTTGAGAAGCCACAAAACCCCTTTTAATAGCACGCAGATGTAACCAACGATAGCCTTGTAGTCGACCACTACCAGCCATTTCCTCTCCCACAGTAGTGGCAATTTCCTCCAAGTCCGTGTGATTCTTTCTTCAGAATAGAGACAGTTTCTTGCATAGTCTTTTCAAAGTCCTGATACTTATGATAATTTGGTGCTGATGTGCCAAAAGATTCAGTATCTTGTTAATTGTGAAACCTATATTGAAGTATAACTGCACAAGATTCTCCATGTTCCTCATTTTAACACATGGAGGCGGCAGGCTGCTCTTCTGATATTTCCCCTGACGTGTATTCTCGTAATATTATGACTTTATTCTCATAATTTCTGATTTTTTTTTTTTTTATTCCTCAATGTGGCCCTAATACTCTGTCATAGTGTACAAAGAAACAATAGGCTAAGAAGTCTGATATTAAGACATTCATGGAGCATTAGCCTCAATATGTTTTCATCAATTTGTTGTTCAGTGTAGGGTCAAGCTTGACTGATGTTGCTCAAGTGTTGTTTTTACCTCCTCATCAAGCCTGGAACTGTGCATGACTTGACAGGAGATGGAAGGCATGAAGCTATGGACTGTCTCAAAAGTGCATGCGAAATGGCCTCGAGAGCATTTCAAAAAATATTTCATGGACACTTAAACAAACTTTATTTTTAGCTTTCCATTAGCCTGGGCGTCATCCCATTATATACACAACCTCTACCTTTTTAAAGAGAAATCACCAGCATGACCCACTGCAATTCTGACTGATTCTATTTTCCCACTATTAAAATCTCCCATTGTATATCCATTATTGACTTCTACCCAGACCATTTTTATTTAGACTCAGTTAATACTTTTCATTTTAAGGTGGGGTTCTGCTACAAATAAGGCTTTATTATTTGATTAATTTGGGTACATGGTTAAAGTACAATGTCATTTTATAACAGCTAAACGTATATCCTTAGGGATCTCCTGCTGAGAGACAACCTGTTTGAGATCATCACCAGCTCCCGAACCTTCTACATTCAGGTACAATCCGGTTTTCTTGTTACACCAACCAATCAGATGCTGTGTTCCACACAAGTTTTAAAATCAGTTGTTCGAATAGATAAGTTATTTTGTTAGTAAGAGGCAGAGAGGGTCTGTATTCTCAGGTGTCTCCATCCTGATGTTTTGAGTTGTTTTCTCTGAATGCTCTGCTGCTGATGTGTGGCACGGGCTCTTTTTTTAGGACCATGAAAAGTTTGTTTGTGTGAAAGGGGCCTAGCCATCTGTTACCATAACAATAACAACATCCTGCCCCCCTCCTGGGAGAACAGCTGACTAAGACAGACAGTTCCTATCAAATGGGAAGTGCTGGGAGAGAGACAGAGAGAGAAAGAGAGAGAGGCTGCAAGCACAAATACTTTTTTTTTTTTTGTCTGTTCACAAAAAAAAAGGAAGCATGACAAACATTTAAACTGAAACAAACAACACATAAACAAAAATAGATCAAACAGAGAATATCATCATAGTGGAAGTGTGCACACCAAAGTGAAAAATTAGTTTTAAGAAGGATCTCTTTGAACTTTGGGTACTTTTAATTGTTATAAAGATGTGTATTTAGGTACCAAGTTGAATATTGTATGATTGAAAAAACATAAAACAAACATAATTTCTTTCTGGTGCACAAACTATGTAATGATAACACTTTTTCTAATAACTTCAACCTTTTCTTTGGGTGCAATTATTATTACCTATCTACCGACATACTCCAGTATCAACATGTCTGTGATAAGCTCACACCAGCTCATCTATAGGCCATTCATGATGTATAGGTGCATCTCATAAAATCTGAATATCGTGGAAAAGTTCATTTATTTCCATAATTTTATTCAAGAAGTGAAACTTTTACAGTACATATTCTAGATTATTTACACTTAAAGTGAAATATTTCAGGTCTTTTTTGGTTTTAATCATGAGGGTTACTGCTTACAATGGAAATCAAAAATCTATATCTCAAAATAGTTAATTGTAATAATAATTAATAATTTGAATATAAGAATAAAGAATGTAAAACACAGAAATATTGGTCTTCTAAGAAGTTGAAAAGTTCTGAAAAAGGTTAAATATTTTGCTCCTTTTGCTCGAATTACTACATCAATGCAGCGTGGCATGGAGGCAACCAGCCTGTGGCACTGCTGAGGTGTTATGAAAGCCCAGGTTTCTTTGATAGCGGCCTTCAAGTCGTTTGTATTGTTGGGTCTGGTGTCTCTCATTTCCCTCTTGACGATACCCCATAGATTCTCTACAGGGTTCAGGTCAGGTGAGTTGGCTGGCCAATCAAGCAGAGTAATATCATGCTCAGCAAACCAGTTACTAGTTGTTTTGGCCCAAGTCCTGCTGGAATAGGAAGCATATCCATTAAGCTTGTGAGCAGATGGAAGCATGTAGTGCTCTAAAATCTCCTGGTAGACAGCTGTATTGACTCTGGACTTGATAAAACACAGTGGACCAACACCAGCAATTATCACTGACTGTGGAAATTTTACAATGGACTTCAAGCAACTTGGATCCTGTGCCTCTCCACTCGTCCTCCAGACCCTGGGATCTTGATTTCTAAATGAAATGCTAAATTTACTTTCATCTGAAAAGAGGACTTTGGACCACTAAGCAATGGTCTAGTTCTTTTTCTCCTTAGCCCAGGTAAGACACTTCTGACATTGTCTCTGGTTCAGGAGTAACTTGATACTAGAAATGGAACACTTGGAGCTCATTTCCTGGACCCATCTGTGCATCATGGCTCTTGATGCTCTGACTCCAGCCTCAGTCTGCTCCTTGGTCCCTGAAGTTCTTGAATTGGCTTTGCTCGACAATCCTCTCAAGGCTGTGGTCATCCTTGTTGCTTGTGCACCTTTTCCTACCACACTTTAACCTTCCAGCCAACTTTCCATGAAAATGCTTTGATAGAGCACTCGGCGAACAGCCAGCCCTTTAAGCAATGACCTTCTGTGGCTTACCCTCCTTGTGGAGGGCGTCAATGAGTGTTTTCTGGACAACTGTCAGAAGTCTTCCCCATGATTCTGGTTGTGTGTACTGAAGGCTATGACAGGCTTATTACACATTACAGGCTAGGTAGGTAGGTAGGTTTATTGTCACAATATAACAAGTTATACAGTGAAATTGCTCTTCTCAGGTCAACATTTGTGTATTAGACATTCTTTATTCTAATATTTTGAGAGATGGATTTTTGATTTCCATGAGCTGTAAGCCCTAATCATCAAGATCAAAACTAAAGAAGGCCTGAAATATTTTACTTTATGTATAATGAATCTAGAATATATGAAAGTTTCACTTTTTGAATAAAAGTGAGGAAATAATTGAACTTTTCCATGATATTCAAATTTTATGAGATGCACCTGTATATCAGTCAAGCTCTGATTTATTTTTGCTCTGGTATTTTAGATTTTTAGATTCTGTGGCACCCATGAGCTTATTGTTTCATGCTGATGATGTATGTCTTTAAAAACATGTCACAAGTACATAATTTAATTTTAAAAAGGGCAAAGAATATTTTCCTAAAACAGCTGGGCACTGAAGGTTTTGGCAAATGTTACTCAAAAAAAGAGTAAACAGTGCATTTGTTGTGGACTATTTTTAGCAGCGGATTAATTCAAATTTGTTAAATACCATGTGTTTCGCAGATCAGTATACATGAGATTGACTGAAAACAAACTACAGTGCCCATGTTTATTGGATACTGTTAGCAGTATCCATTTTTGGTTGGTTGGGTATTTTCATGATTTGTTGTCGGTAAGAAAAACATAGAATAGGCCTATCGATTAGCAGCTATGAGAAAATGCGATGCAACACAATAGGACAAACCACTACAATGGCTAATTTAAAAGTGAGTGCAGATATTCAGCTCTGCAAGACTTTATCTTCTGGTAATCTTTGTCTTTAGACAGACTCTCCAGAGGAGATGCATGGCTGGATCAGGGACATTGAGATGAAGATCCAGGAATTCAGAGGTCCCCCTAAGGTAACTCTAATTACTGCCTCTCCGCTTGACACAAAAACCAAATATGTTTACTATCTCTTTATGTTCTTGGCAAGTGACAAGTGTAGCGAATGATCAATGGCAACATGCTTTTGTCTCTCTAATTGCAGGGTGTTTTATTTAAACGTGCGTCCTCTCTCTATCGAAGTCACAACACCTCCTCAGCGTCTCGAGGTCAACAGGGTGACGAGCGCAGACCTCCCTTGGTTAAGTCCTGCTCTGTGGCCCCAGGCTGGCAGCCCTGGATGCCCGTCCCATCGTGTGAGCCCTCCATCCTGGACGCAGAGGATGAAGACAGCGTGTTCAGCCCCGTGCCCACCTTGCCTTCTCTCTCCTCATCCTCCACCTCGTCCTCCACCTCGTCCTCCTCCAACTCCCTCTCCAACCCGACCCCTTGCCCCAGCATGCCTCCAGCAGCTTCGGCCAGCGGACTGGGGATCCTCACAGCGTCAGGAGACGTGGCCAGTGGGCGTCGGAGGCACCGCTCGCAGCCTCAGTCTCACACCGGCTGCAGCTTCCCCTTCAGCCTGGATGATGTTGACATCCGCACAACGGACGTCTAGTCCAATGAAGTCTGTCCAGACTCCTGTTTGGACTCAAGTGTTGGTACTTGCTTTAATATGAATGTGACTGGCAATAATAGTATTCCCTGCTAATGAAGTCACTGTGACCATTTGCCTCATGTCATGAGATTGGGGCTCCCTGCTGGTCTTGTAGCTGTATTGCAGACGATGTATGCACCCAGCTGGAAGGGGACCAAAGGGGCGCAGTGTTTGTTGTTCACAGTACTGTGAAAAAGTATAATAGAGTGTTTTTAGTGCAACATCCTCTGAAAACTTGAATAATCTTGTTCTTGCAGACATATGACGGCACATGCTTTCAGTATGTTGCACTTGGCTCCCATCGGAGACTTTACGCTGTCATCAAAAACATGTTTCCACCCCTGCTAGAAGTATTCACACACACGTGTTTAAAGGCATTTTAACACATTAGTATCCATCATTTTTATACTCAAACATATGTTCACTAAGTTCTTTAACATAATTTTTGTTTCTTTGGAGCCCGGCAATGTTTTTCCCTCTTTCTCCCTGAGACATTATCTGAAAAGCTTCACATCAACTTCTTTAATAATAAACAAGCATTTTAGTACTAACATCTAATCAGGTGTCTGGGTGAAAGTATCCTGCTGCTGTCTCAAAAAAACGGTACATGCACTCACATGCCAACTGACTGAGAACTCCTCTGTTGTTGAAGCTGGTGCAGACAGAGAAGATGGAGTCAGCAGCAGCTTTTATGTGTTCGCGCTATGTTTTAAACAGGAGCTTTTAATAAGTAAACTGTGACTCCTCTTAGCTTTTAACAGGGTACCGTAACAGTACAGCAGTGGTAAGTGTAGTAGAATGTACTGCCAACATCAAAGTACAGCCGATCAGCTGGTTGACAGTTTTGAAAATGTGATATTGTTATTGCAGCATTATGTGGGGGAAAATGTGCCACTACTTCTGGTAATTTAATAGTAATTTCGCACTTTGCTTTTCCCATTTTTACTTGTGTTTCGGGGGGTTTTGTCAGAGCTTTCACAGCTGATATTACAGCTTCCTTTGAGATGATGCCTCAGATACTTTGTGTTGTTACACAAGTAGTCTCAGCCCCTCTCAGGTTCACCTCGAGACTTAATTGATGTGGTACCATGTTCATAACTATTTCCGTTTTCTGAAACTGTGCACTTGTCTGCCTGCGTGTAATGTTAATTTTTTTTCTTGTACATTAAAAGATGCTTTTTATTTGTCTTGTTTGGATTGTTTTTAATCTAAGCTTCATTGTTTGTTGCAGTTTGTCTATTCACACTGCCATCTAGTGGACGGTGTGTCAATCCACATTGTACACCAAAGACAGCACAAACTAACTTTGACTTTTGAAGTTTTCTAAATTCCTTTTGAAAGAAGACTTTTTAAAGTTTTATCTGCGTTTTCTCTCTTGCATTCAAAAATGTCCATCTGCCAGGCATGCAGAGGGCCAACATTTTTGACCTTTAACACTGTCACCTTGGACACTATGTAGACACAAACACCAGCATGCACACACGTACATACCAATCTAGTGCCCAGAGGCTGTGTTAAGTGAAGTGTTTCACACGTCCAGTGCAAAGGTCCATTAGGTAAAACGCCTAAAACTCTGTCCTGACCTCTGTCCACTCCCAGTGCAGCTCTGTGGCTGCAGGACTGGCAAGGCTAAAATGTCTCCACTGAACAGTTTAAATTGTGTCTGTAAATAAAAAAGGCCCTGAGTGCTCGTGAAATGTCAGCTGTGTTGAAATGAGTTTTCAGTTTGTTAAAGACAGAGCTCCCCTAGGTACTGAGAGAAATCCAAGTAGAAACATGTGGCAGGACCAGTGGTGATGAAGAAAGGGGCAGTGAAAGTTTGATTAGTGTAAGGAAAGGAAAAAAGATTGTACACATCTTGGCCTTTTAAAACTCCACCAAATTGGGAGGATTTGGCACACAGATCTAAAACCTCCCACCAATATAATAAACTCTTCTGGTGAGCTTCTCATCTCTCCATAAATAAAGAAACAAGTCAAGAAACAATAAAGAGATAAAGGTCTGAAACTATGGCCACACACTGTAAGCCTTCGAGGCTGAATTTATTTTCTGTACGTCTGCACAAACATGATGTAAAGGTCACGTAGCACTTCAGTTTGACGCCTGTGAGTGACAGGCAGCTCTGAGGGCTGACAGACACACTGCTCCCTTAAATGTTAATGTTCCCACATGGATGACTGCTCTCTCTCTCTCTCTCTCTCTCTCTCTCTCTGCCTCTGTCTAATGCCATTACACTCACATGATTTTACATGTTGCTCCTAAATATAGTCATGTTCCTGGAGCACTGTAGTCAGATGGTTATGCTCTGTTGCTTGTTCAGTGGCATAAGCTGATGTGACGAAGACAACTACATGGTCAGTTTTGTTTGTTTCTGACTTTGTCACATTGGTGTCTTTGCTTTCCACTGTTTCCACTGCTATTTCCCTGTTTGCAGAAGAAAGCCACTAGAGGGAGCTGCAATACACCACACTTCACTCACCACACTGACCAGTGTGTGAAGGCAGTTTTTTGTGGGCTTGCACGCAGCTGAAGATCTCATAAAGCAGTCCTGTTGGCTTTGCCACTCACACTTTGAAATCCAATAAAACCATTTATAATGGCCATAATAATTTACTTAAATTCACAATGTCAAAGCATGACAAAAGTTATGAATGGGGGACATGCCGGGCCAGCTGCTGAACAGGGACAATAGTTTCCTGCGTTTGTGCTTGACACTTAATTGCGTCCACACCTCCTATTTGTATGTCCAGCCCACCTTCAAAATAAAAGCCCCATCAACGATAAAATTGAGGGCTCAAAACAGAACATGGCATCATGAGAAGTGTAGAATTAATAAATATTGATCAATATACATCAAAATAAAGACTGTTTATTTTATTAAACCAAACAATCACAGTCATTTGTACATTTTTGGGCTACAAACAAGAAGTTTAGTCAAACAAATGTTTCATGATTAATGAAATGATATCCATCTACATTATTTATTCAGTAATCTAGAAAATGTCAGTTGATCATGTGTAAAATCTTTACACATTTGTTGTAAAATAAACCAACACGTCTAATCCCAGCACAAGGAATGCATACTCCAGTTTGAAACTGTGGCTATTTGTGAAACATGAAGATTATGAGAGAGGGAAGTGAAGTTTGATATTCATCTCAAGTGCCCTTTTTTCCCTAACAGAAAAGGCACTGTGATTTGGAGCTATAATGATGATTGAGTTACTTCTTCAAGAGTTTTTCATGGTCTCTGGAGAGTTCACACACCCATGCCAATAATTTGATCAATGTCTTGAATAATTGGAAGAATATTAAAGGAATAGAGTTCATGATTTTCAGTTAAAACACTTTCTTCTCGTTCTTAGGTTTAAAACTACAGCTTTGTGATTTAACCTGACAGTGCTAATGACTTAAAATTAGGTTTTCTTTGTATGTTGAGTTATTAGAGTTCTCTCACCTTTGGGCAGTTGTGTGATGTGTAAACCTCTTCACTAAACCACTATAACTACTAATAATCTCATCTGAGGGCACATTTTAAAAGTCACATAACAAACACCGACTTTAAAGAAGAGTGTCACATTTAACTAAGCCTGTGCAGAAAGCAGCGTCGGGTTGAATATGAAGTCATATTAATGTGGAACAGGTTTTCCTTCATCTGACTTCGGAGGCCCCGTCTGGACTGCTGCCAAACCACCACCCTCCGCTGTTCCCACATCAGACCACCTTACAAACTGGATGCTGTGGGGAGGGGAGGGGAGGTTGGAATGTATTTTGCCCTGTGTGATGTGATTGTTTGCAGAGAAATGGGTTGACCTTGCCCTCTAATGCCACACACACACGCACACACACTCGCTCCGGCCGAGCTTGAGGTGTGTGAGACAGACCTGCTGAGTGCAGGAGGTCTGGGACCCCGTCACCACTTCCTCCAGACGGAGAACAGAGGATCCAGTCAGCTGAAGCCAGGATGGGACAATAATGAGCCGTCTGGCCACCACCACCAGCACCTCATTTCAGGTATTACTGAAACCTTTGCCTCTTACTTTTCTCCTGCATACACCAAGCAACTGAGGGATGAGACCATATGAATAGTTATAGTCCAAAAAGCAATACCCAGTTTGAAAATTGGATCAATTACACAATATTTCAATATTTAAAGGACAAAACATGTTGCCAAGTAAATGTACTCAGATTAACACTAACCTCAATGAAAAGTATATGTGGTGTAGCTTAATAGTGTTGGTGCTACTGTAAAAATGTGGAGTTAAACTGGAGTCAAATAGTAAATATTAAAATTTTGAAAGCCAACACCATGCAGACATCAGATGTAAAGGTAGTGAAATAATTTAGAGTAAGTTTCTGATACATAGGAAAATGATTTCCAGGTTTAATGGGAAATTATTTTTAACTTAGATTATTGTTTGTTAGATTTATCAAGAGTGAGTTAGTTATTTAATATATTCCAGGGGTTTAAGTCAGAAATGTAGCTAAAGTTGTGTTTTTATTTTTATTAATTAGGCTAGTTTTTTTAATCAGTGTATTTTGTTATTTTTAAGCATAAGATATTTGATAATTTGGAAAAATTATCAAAGAGGCAACAACCATGAAAACTTTCTAATTCCCAAAATGTATAAACAACGAAATAATAACTAAAGTTAACTGTGTGGCTTTAAATCAAGAGGTAATTAGATGGATTAAATGCATGCCGATTTTTTTCGATTGTGCAATTGGAACCTGCAACGGGGGAAGTTTTACCGAACTTGTATGAAAGTGCATATTTTTTCAGGAACACATAAAATAATTTTGATTTTCAAAATAAATAAACGGATTTCAGGGAAATATCACGCTCTGTTGTGCTCAGAGACTCAATAAACAGAAGAGTGAGTGTTGGTCACTTATTCTGAATGGAAGTTCTTGACTTATTTGTTCATAACATTTGAAGGAACAGCATGTTCACTTGTTCTCAATAATTGTTCTCAGTAATTTTTTTTTTCAAAGGAAATATTTAAAACTGTATATTTGACCCATTTCTGAAGAGTAGAAGGAGGGATGCAAATAAAACATTTTAGCCTTTTTTTGATGTAACTCCAAAACTTTTTAGCGGTGTATGATAATTAAGTCTGGAACTGTTTACTTTTCCGGGGCTTTTATTCTAGTTTCTTTTTCATGAAATTGTTTCAAGAATTTCATGAATGTGTTTTTTTTAGCCTAAACGTGTTTTTTTCATAGGCCTATAAAGAAAAACTTCCAAGTCTGCATTTTGATTTGCGACGTCTGTTTATTTCTGCTGGTTTGAAAGTTTTAAACCTGCGTGTAATGAAAGGGCTCCACCAAAACCTGTAAACAAATATTATGAACGTGATCAACATATTTCAAGGGAATCCTTGTAGACTTGCAGCAGCATGCTAATGTGTCCAATATAGTCTGATCGACATTAGTAAAATACTGCATGTTCTCTTAATTGCTTTTTAGGAACAAGATAGGCAATACTGTCTTATTTATGGGCTATACTTGATAGTGTAGCCTACTATGAAAAGTCGTTTCAGTTAGTCTAAGTTAAAATATGTTGCTTGTCGCTCAAATTCTTCTGTATAGGTGACTTTTTTATTACAAACTTAGAATAACAGTAAATTACCTATTTATTATCTATTATTATATCGTAGCCTTCTTTACGGTTTCACATGCAGTGTTGTGTGTGAGCTATTTGAAGACATCAGTCAGTGTCTGCACATCGATATGCTTATTGGTAACAGCAGATCGGAAACTTGGGTTTGCATTTATAAAGATACACACACACACACACACACACACACACACACACACACACACACACACACACACACACACACACACACACATAATGTCTCTCCCAGTGGCAGAGAGCTTTCACTGCAGCACCCGCTTGTCGCGCAGGAGAGGATGTGCAGTGAGCTGGAGGTCTAACACCGGGGAATAGAGATATTTTAAGACGGTAAGAGCTGCGGTTATTGATGCTTTTAAAAAAAAATAAAACATAAGCGCGTGTATATGCGAAAACCCCCCAAGAAATTCTAGACTATAGCCTAGTATTTAATTTTATTTTATACAGCAGGCCTATTTATTTTAATATTTTTATATGTAACTTCGGTTTATATATTCGAATTAAATATATCAATATGGGCTTCAGTATTTTCCACAGTGGGTTGGTTCAGACCATAGGCCTACCTGCTTTAGACACATGATGTTTATAAAGTCAACAGATCTCTCGTGCAAATTAGATAAAAATAAACCATAAAAGTGTTAATGATGCATAAATCTGACCACACCCTGGATAAGCAGACTTTGGTCAGGTTGGATTGGGTAGAGGGAAACAGAGGACGCAGCTGCAGAAATCGGTAGAAATGGGTTGCAGAGGGATCCGGCATGTTGACCTCCAGGTGACCCCTTCAACTTTCAACTCTGGATGCCTCCGGTAATCAGGATCTACAGTATTCTAGTCAAAGTGATGGTGCTGCTGCTACAGGCCTCCAGTGCCCGAATAATCTACTAGTGTGTCTCTCATGTGAGATTACTGTGATCTGTGATCATTTTAGGAAAGGCATGAACCAAATCCACATCTGTGTGTGTTGATGCCCAGTATGTTACATGTGGGTTTGTTTTTATAGCCTATAGGGCACCGAAGTGAATTAATAGCCTAGCTATTGAAATGTTAGTACCCTGAACCACCAGGTAAAATAAATCCTGTCATCTTCTTTTAGTGTGTGGGACTGGAAATTAAACAGCCTATCTCAAAATGTGGGTAAAATAACTGATTTTTCTCCTTTCTGTTTTATTCTAATGTGACCTAATATCTTCCTCTCACATCACTGTTCTTAACTAATGCTAACTAATACACTAATAAAGTGTAAAATATTCCCTCATTCTCTGACTTAATGATACATTTCTCTGATCAATCCAGACAGTCCGATGGATAATATTTTTTAATAATTTTTTCTTCAGTTCGTCATCTTTTTGGCGTGTGTGGTATAAAACCAAGTGAGGAGGCTCAAGTAAATCACATTCTCACAGTGACAAATACAGATTGTGAAAAATGCTTTTGAAAAATAAATCATCCACGACCGCGTGCGCGTGCGTCTAGGTCAATGTCTGTGTGTGCGTGTGTGTGTGCGATCGGCCAGTGTCACAGCCGTGAGTTGTGCTGCAGATGCCGATGCACCGTGCAGACCTATGGGAGCGCAGGGACGGTAAGGGGGAGGGCAGAGTGTCTGAGGCGGACTTGACTCCATTTGTAATGAAGGATCCGATGAGGGGGATCAGATCAGGGCTGCTGCTGAGTCCGCGAGGGCAACGAGGAGAGGAACGATATAAATGAGGAAGAAACTGCATTCGCTTTGAACGGATCTCAGCCTCCACTGCGGCCGGCGGTGACGGGAGGAGCGGACGAGCCGCTGTTTGCGCGCATGGAGACGGACACTGTAGCGAGAAGCAACCAGATGACATCTCAGAGCTGCACGGGGAACATGGTGGATTTTTGAGAGCATACAACAGCAACATTTGGACAGTTGGATTAACTAATTTATATATAATTGAGTGGAAATCAAAGCAAGCTACAAATATATGCGAGCAGAGAGAGAGCGTGCAGGAGCAGGATGAGCGTGTTTTCTGCATGGAGAGCAGAGCAGTGCGTTTGAGGTAAAGGCCCTCAGGGAGACCATCCAAAATATACACACGCACGCGCACACGTCAGGCACAGGCTGTGGTTAGATTATTTGATGTCAGTGATATGCACTTTAAGAGCTGCTTCCATTTTTAAACAGCATGTTGGCTGCAGCTGTTAACACATGGTGGAACAGCAAGATCAAATTACCTTCACGCATTAAGGTTGAGATATAAAATGTGAATATTAATACAGTTAATATTGCCACTGTAGGTATAATACATCCTGAATTCAGATTGTTAATGTCACACAAATATGCATGATCAATAGCAGGTAATTGACGTCTGTAAAAACAATGTCAAAGTTCAAGTCCATGCACATTGAATCTCCTTTTATGTGGAAGCCTGTAATTAGGTTACTGGATCAGTTATAGTGTAAGTCAGTGCAATGTAATGTAAGTCATTATCCTTGTTGTGGTTTTACAGTATTAAAGTGCGTTTAGGTACACTATACATTTCTCTTTGTGAATCCTTTGACAAAGACAGCTCCTCCCCGAATATCAACTGTCCAACCGTTTGAGTTTCTTATTAGCCTTCATAATTTTTAGTTAGGGCATTAGTGTTTTGTCCTAAAACATAATATCATAGATCTGAATTTAGTTGAGACTGACCTTAATTTGCCTAAACAGACATTATATTCATTATCGGCTTGTACCAAACAGCTCGCGGTCATGGAACTATTTCTGATCAAATGTTTTACACTGTGTGTGTGTGTGTGTTCTGTCTGCCTGTCTGTCTGTCAGTGGGACATGGCAAACGGAGGGGACCAGTTCGGCCTTGCAGAGCGTCCGGACTCGGACTGCATGGATTCCCCAAAAGAGAGCAAACAGGAAAATCCCAGCTACACCTTAAACTCACCAGCTTCACCGCAGACAGCCTCCAGCCAGCAGGCACCGGCCTGCACCGCGGAGCATAATGTAAATGCTAATTTTAATAATTCTTATTAATTATTGATTATGAGTGATTGGTTTGAACAAACTTCATCTGGTCTCTGCGGTTTTTGCTTCAGAAATTAAATTACAAAGAATGTATTGTAGTGTAGACAAAATATTCACCTCATTTAGGCTACCAATTGTTGTTAGTTTAATTCACCGTATATTAGTCCTATATCATTATTTCAAATATACAAAACATTATACAATTATGTGGCCTAGGCCTATATATGCTAAAAATCTAATTTCGAAAAATCTAATTGAACGTGGGTTTCATTTGGGGGCCTGTGTCCTGCTTTAATTTGACGTCCAGAAGATTGTTGTAGTGAGCACTGTTTATATTTTGCTGCAGGGGATGGAAGGAATCAAAGTTTTCCTTCATGACAGGGAACTTTGGACGAAATTTGATGAAGTGGGAACTGAAATGATCATCACCAAGGCTGGAAGGTAGGAGGGAAGGAGGAATGTAGAACTCACTATGGTTTGTGATAGATGTTATATTTGATTAATCATGTTTTCTTAGGCCATGTCTTTAATAAAACGCTGTAGAGGGGTTGAATGAAGGAGACTTTTTTTTTAATGTCTCAACAATACTTCGGGGACAAACTGTAGGCTACAATGTGCATGTCGCTAGTCCCCCAGGAGCTCTAAGGCTGGCTGTTTATTTATTTATTTTATTATATAACTGTAGGATATATCATTTAAATATTGATATTTTCCCTAAATGTGTTCTCTGTAGGAGGATGTTCCCCAGCTACAAAGTGAAGGTCACAGGACTCAACCCAAAAACCAAGTACATACTCCTGATGGACATAGTGCCCAGGGATGACCATCGCTACAAATTCGCGGACAATAAATGGTTGGTACATCGCATCATAGGTAGGCCTATTACCCCCCTCCACAAACGGTCAGGGTAAGGGCTCGGGGCGCTAGTGCACAGTTCAGCTTTGTCATCACAGACCATATTGTTTATTTATGATATGTAATCTTTTGAACATAATGTGCAGTAAATGGTGTAGGCTATAAAACGATAACTGAACTACCACTGGATAGCCTTTATTCAAAAAATTACTACAATAATGCAGAAGCTTAGGCTATAGGCTACTTCTGGACTAAAAAAAAATTTATTCATCTCATTTTATTACGTGGGCCACCACAGATTTTACATGCGACATGTAAAAGAACCTCTAAATAGACATAGACAAACCGCGTTGTTCTGGATTTATGGTGTATCCCCGCCTCTGCGTCGTGTAAAGGTCGGGTCCTCCTTACAGACTGGGATGGCCTAGTTCCCCGTGTTTCCCCCCGTGCCTGCCCGCCGGATAAATCAGAGTAAGGAGGGTTCACCGGGCGGACAGACGGCACAGACCCGGATTAAAGTCTCCCATTCAACTAGGCCTATGTGTTATGCTAAAATCCCAACAGACCACGGACTCCACAGTGAGATCCATCAATGCTCTGCCTCTTCAGACCATCAGACACTCGGTTATGACAATGTAACAGGCCTGAAACAGGGGTCAGTAGATAAACGCACTGTGACGCGAAGTCCCAGCTCAGAGCGCTCGGTGTAAATAGAGAAAAGTCGATGCTAGCCTGTTGGCTTTTAAAAAAGATAAAGTTGGATGAGGGTGATTGAGCCCTTCAGCTATAAGAGACGGTGTGTTTGTTAAAAATATCACACGTCATTTCATTTTATTTTTCTTTTGTTTCCTTTTAAAATGTTTTTTCCCACTTGCAGGCCACGTCATTTGACCTTCACGCATTGCAGACTAAAAACACAGACCAGACGCAGATACACAACACTTTTTAAACACAATAACACACCTGATCAATATTTAACAAAGGCCTTTATCTTCTCTCAGAGCTGGACCAGTCTTTGGTTATATTGATTAGGATATTAAGATTAGGCTAAGTCCCCACTAGGTAGGCCTATTTAGGCTAATTAACCTAGTTGTGTTTGTTCCACGTAAAATGTCAGATTTAAAACAAAGAGAAACTCACCTGTAACCGCTTAACAAGTCTATTAAAAATGAATGTGCTGAACGAAAACCACAATTGTGCCCTATCTTTTTTGTCTGCCCCTCTTACTGTTCCTAGAAAGGCAAGATGGTCCACTGGTTCACAAATTCAATTCTTAAAATTCCATCTTTGTTGGGCATTTGTGGTCCTTGCTGTTTTAGTTTCGTGGTGATTTGAGGTGTTTTTAGCAGGTTAGCGGTTCAGGCTTCTCACTCGGTGTCTCACAACAACATCTCTCTAGCAGTAAACAACAAAGAGTGACAAAGTAGGCTACAGTCATTTTGGAGGAGACCGAGTATTTGGGTCGGCTAAGCTAAGGTCCAGATGTGGCTATTAGTGTAAACTTCAGTAACAAAAAAAACAAGGTGCATTTCGTGTCTGTCTAATTAAAGCACCAGAGAGGCCTTCTGCAGCCGGCGGCAGCGCAGGCCTCCTGCGCCACGGGGCACCAGTCAGAGCTGCACTGCCGGTCAGACAAACCACTGTGACCTACTCAGTGTCAAAGTCTGACCGTTCTGAGGTCTGCTGCATGTTCTTCTCTGCGGTTTAGGTCTGTAACGGGAAAGGCAGAGCCCGCGATGCCCGGGAGGCTCTACGTTCATCCAGACTCTCCCGCCACCGGGGCGCACTGGAGCCGCCAGCTCGTCTCTTTTCAGAAGCTCAAACTCACCAACAACCACCTGGACCCCTTTGGACATGTGAGCCTGTCTTCTTAATAGTATTTTGTTAATGTGGTGTATTTCTGTTTCATAGACAGAACAAGACAAAATGTTCTTGGTCTTTGTTTGCTTGAATTTATAAATAGACATAAATATTTGCTCTTTGAATGTAGGCCTAGTTGTGGGCCTGTAATTTTTAGGCTATAATAAAAACGTTAATTTAATTAAAAGAGAAGGACGCAAATCCTTTTCCCAATACATTTCCCAATCATAAAAACATAACATGCATTTTACATAATTAACCCTGAGCTTTAATTTAAGAATAATGATTGCACAAACTACAGTCACAGGTCCAGTTAGGCATGGCAAGGACAACCGAGGACTCACTCTCCTGAGTATAACTCAACAGACATCACAACACAGCACAAATCAGCACGAGGGCACAGCAGCCACACATGCTCAGCAGAGCATAGACTCAATCCCGCCATGTCCAGCATTCATTGTTACTCCACAGTAGCCAAACAGTCTACACACACAGGGCGCACGGAGCAGGTGAGCATGTATTGTTTTGCTCGCACGTCTTTGTGCCCGTGCGCGCGCGCACGCAGAAACAAACCGAAACATAATCTTCTGGGGCGTGTTAAATTAGAGGTAATGATTTCAATGACTCAAAAGTCCATTAGCTAATGCATGTCACCGATAGACACGCCACTGTGATTAAACTGAGCCCCCCCCCCTCCCAGGATAAACAAACGAGCTCACGCCCGTGCGCGCGCTTACACAGAGGGCCATGATCCAATTAAAAAACACTTGTGGAGTTGCCAGTGTCATGGGAAATAGTTGAATGCACAGAGTTGTTATAGTTTTACATTAGGCTGTTAACCCCAAGCCACATTTAGCAGTACCCTATGCCTGCTGAATATATAAAAAATTCTAGTAGGCTAAGTCTAGTCAATTTATTTGACCAATACAGCTCCTGTGTAGCCTATGGTCTTATATCACCATCTATTAAAGTTGTTAAGCTGAAAGAAAACTGGCAACAGGTGCTATATTGGAAATTAATAAGGAAATATTCACTAATCACCTTGTTTTAATATGGCAGCTGTCTTTGGTTCTATGCCATTGACACAAAAATAAGAAAACATCAAATAGCATAAACATAAGTTATTTATCTGTATGCTACTGATTCTAAACTTATATTCATACAGAACATATGGCATCAGTATTTCTAAAATATGGCCTTTTAACAAAATATTGATTTGTTTTTCCTCTTGGCTCACATCAGTCTGATCCTATACCAATATTTAAACCAGGACTAGCTGTCTTAAAGATTCATGTCATCCAAGACATCTGGGCACCTTGACATATACGTTGGGTCTACCCTCCACTTGGCCTCCAGTCTAGTCCAGGTCCCAGCATCTGCTGGTGGGTTTGTGGAAACATGACAGGTCTGTCAATCTCACCTACTCAATCTCTTCCCCGTGCAGATAATACTCAACTCCATGCACAAATACCAGCCTCGTCTTCACATTGTCAAAGCGGATGAGAACAACGGCTTCGGCTCCAAAAACACGGCCTTCTGCACCCACGTCTTCTCAGAGACTGCCTTTATCGCTGTGACGTCCTACCAGAACCACAAGGTATGCTTTGCACCAAAACCCTGTAAAATTCTATTGTTTCATGTGTTCCATGTGTTTTAGAAAGGCGCCGCCTAAATGTCTTTCAGGATGAAACTAATACAGTAATTGAAGGGTTGACAAAATGGAATAAAATACAAAATATATTAAGTAAGCTCACTGTGAGCTTTAAGAAGTACAGGCACACTGCAACTCCTGCTATAAGAATATTGTAGTGATGTTTAGACATTAGTTTGAAGTGCAAGTTGAATATGAAGTGTACTGTTTGTTTACAAGCTGAAGCAATAGACTGTCTCACAATTATTCTAACAATTACGGAAACTGATCTCAAAGTTTTCTATGTGCAAATCAGACCTGGTACTATCAAAATTGTGTATAAAGACTTGCCTTTGGTCACTAGCACAATCAAACATCTCAATGTTTCTCTCTACTTCTCTCTCTCTCACACACACACACACACACACACACACACACACAGTCACACTTTTTCTTTGTTTGTATTACTGTTATATTTTGTATCCAGAAAGTCAATTTGCAATCTCTTTGTTTATGTGTCCTTGCTCAGTATTTGTAAATATGTCCAAAAATAAATTATCCCTGTGTTTGTATGTGTGTGTGTGTGTGTGTGCATGTGTGTGTGCGTGTGTGTGAGCACATGTGAGAGACAGTGTGTGAGGGTTGGCCTGTAATGACCTGTTTCTATCCCTTGATCTTGGCTGATCCAGTTTCCTCGGCATCTACTAGATAGACAGACTGCTGAAGCTTTGCGCTTTTCACAAGATAGCTTCAGTTTAATCACATTTCATAACAAAACATAAATACCATAAATTAAATAAATAAATCTAAGCTATAATATTTTTAATAAGTGTTGCAATTGTTTTTCTTAATTTTATAGATAACATACATATAGACAACATATCTTGTTAGCAAAATTGCTCACTTGACAAAATAGAAGCCTAAATTCTACAGCTTCAGTACAGTTTTTTTTTAAAAGTAGATATACAACATGCATTTAATCCCTCAAGCTGCAAATAATTTATTTACAATAATAATTATTGTTAATAGTAGTTAAATGTAATTATTGTAATTTATCAGAATGCCACTGTGTATATAAATACATGTGTAATGTAATATTTTGAATTTTAAACTTTATGGCTAATTTATAATATTATTATCAGTGGTAGTAGTAGAAGTAGTAGTTGTATTAGTGAGACAAAGTAATCATTGAATTAGTTTTGAGTATTACGAATAGTTTTTAATTTTATGAATACATTTGTGTAATAAAATGTGTCTATTTGTGTAAAAAAAAATTATATTTCCATCATACATGCAATGACAAATATGCTGGTATCACACTTTTGTGTTAATGTCAACATTTGTGTATAAAAAATTAGGTAGTTTGGCAGAGGCTATCAGTATTATCACCACTTTAAAGTTTGCTTGGACCTGTGCTCCAGTCCACTTGCCTGCTGGGTGATGGACATGCAGCATGGAGGTTTCCCTCCATGACATCACTGAGAAAAGTTTGAAGACTTAACATCAAAGCTCCCCGCTTTGGACCTCTAAAAGCTTTGGCCTGAAATCCTTAAACCTGTCGACTGTTTGGGTAAACAGTTTATTCTGTGTCAGCTGGCGAGGACACTGTCCACTCCGTTAGAAATGTCAGAGGCTGAGGAATGTTGGCCGTGCATAGCTTCAGCTTCTGCTTTTAACATCTGCAGGGCCTCGGACTAATAGTAAACTATTGACTTTCAGTCAATGAAAAGAACGGTTAAAAAACAAATCTGCCTGTGTGTGTCTGTACCCACACGAAACTGTGTGTGTCATCGGCCCGTGCATTTACTGTGGTGTGATGCTTGAGTTAAAGAGTTTCTATGTTTTGTGCTCAGATTACACAGTTGAAGATAGAGAATAATCCTTTTGCCAAGGGCTTCCGAGGCAGCGACGACAATGAGCTGCACCGCATGGCCAAGCTACAAGGGTGAGTACATCTGCGTGCTTGTGAGCATTCATGGGATACAAAATCTATTCTTCTCTCTGGGGGTTGTTATGATGGGATACATATGGTATTAGACATGAGTGTGTGTGTGTGTGTGTGTGTGTGTAAGAGAGAGAGAGTGGGGGCAAGTGCTATAAAGAGATGTGAGCCACTGTCACCTGAAGGTTGATCTTAGCCCGAAACCTCGTCCAGAACGTGCAGAATGAACACGACACACCAAACGTCAATAGATAGATGATATCACATTGCTGCTGGTCCATTAGACTGTCGCTGCTGATCAGCTGATGGCCCTACATGGTGTCTGTTTGCGTGCTGAACTAATCTCAATTCAAGCGCTGTTGTGGCAGGCATTTTAGAGATTTTAATAAGCCAACGGGAGAGGCTGTTACTGAGGGGAGGGAGAGGAAAGAGACAGGGGGAGGACGAGGAGGAGGGAGAGAGGGCTGTATTAAATGCAGCACCCCTGTGTTATTGTGCTACTGTGGTTGGAGGAGAGGAGAGGAGAGTCAATCTGAAGTGACACACGCATGGATGTTTATTTTTAGAGCGCCGAATTATCTCACAACAGCACCCACAGAGTGTGTGCGTGCACGAGTGTGTCACTATCTCAGCGAGAGTCATGAGATGTGGCCCGCTGTCCCCTACATACCACAGAGTTCACCAAGAGGGCAGTGTGTACAAAGACGGATCAGAGCTGAAAGGATTGAGAACAGCTAAGTAGACTTGAAAGAAAAAGGAAAAGACAGAAGAAATACAAGAACACAAACAACACAACCAGGCAGAATGAAGAGAAATACCTGTACAGAGTCAGGGAAGGCAGTTTGTGCAGTTTATTTCAGGCTATAATAACATCAGATGGAAATTGTTGTCGTAATTCTCTACCCACCTTACTCTTTCTGTATCAGTAAGGACTACCCTGTGGTCCCTCGTAGTACTGTCCGTCAGAGAGCCTGCTCCACCGGGAGTCCATTCAGTGGGGAGGGTCAGGGTCTGCAAAGTTCCCCCGAAGTCGCCGGGTCCCCCTATAGCTGCGAGAACGGCTTGAGTGGCAGCAGTCCCCAGGAGCTGCTGAGCTCTCCCCCTGCACACTACATACTGCCTCACCCTCATCTGCAGCACGGCCAACAGCCGCAGGTCTACCACTGCACCAAGAGGAAAGGTAGGAGGAAGCTGTGTGTCTCAGTGGAAAAGAAAATGACTGCCTAAGTCTCAAGCAGATATCACCTATTTATTTTAGTACTCATTGAGTTATCGTAATACTTTTCTAATAGTGGAAATATTTTTTTTCCACTTTAAAAAATATTATTACACCCCCTAATGTTTCCTTTTTCTGACTAAGAAAATATCTCTTGCGCAGCCCTAAAATTGGTCATTTCTGACTCCTGCAAAATATTTAGTATTTTGCAAATGTTGTGGTATTTAACACATCTTATGTTAAGGGTACTTAAGGTAAGGTTATGCTTGGTTGCAAAATGTAAAGGCTAAATGACAATTCCAGTGGTTTTAACTGCTAACTGTAATCTAAATGTCACACAAGCCTGGTTTTTCCATCACTGTGAACAATTCATTATCTTTATTTTTGTCAGTTAAATCACAGCATCTATTTAATAATGCAGTTGCTTCAGAGACAATTTTAACAACTTTTTTCCCCCTGTAAAGGACCTCAAATTTAAAGTCTTTTCAGGTTGCTTTTTGTAGCTTGCTGTCAGGGACGTAGGAAATCTACACAAAAAACAGATTTACATTCATTTGTGCTGTGACTGGCATTCAGTTTGTGTTCAGTTTCAGCATCAGATTTACCAAGGCAGCAGCTGAATAAATGAGTAAATTATTTGCTTTCATGTCTGGTCATTTACACACGCTTGCATGGTTTTAATCAAGAATATTAATCAACAACTAAAAGAAAATCAGTAGCAATGACTGTGCAACTACTTCTGTACTTTGCTAGAGAAGGAAAGACGTAACAGTGTTGATACTTATTTTAGATCATAGAATAGAAATTAAAATGTAATGAGGTTGAAAATACTTAATATTTAGATTCCAAAACATTTTCTAAGGCTAAGACTTCACTGATACCTCAACTAATCATGGGCAAAACTCTGCAGGTGACAAGTAATCTGTGCTTTCAGACTGGTGCAGCCCTTTGATTAAAAAAAATAAGCATGTCTCTACATGCAGAATTAGCCTGAAGGGAGGCACAAAGGGCTTTTTAAATCTGGACTCTGCTACTGAAATGTATTTCTGCAATACTAATACTATTGCAAAATACCCATGTTTTGGTGTCAAGACCAAAATAATATATTTTTAATACCTTGCTTTGAGGAGTTAATTTTTCCCCCAACACAACCCATTTTTCATTTAACAAAATAAGCCAAACTTCTTAAATACAAATATAAATATATTATAATATATTAAAAACACAAGGAGCCATACAAGCAGTCTGTCCAAATAAAATACAATCTATAGTGAGTAAAATTACGATTTAAATCTGATGAATCTGAAAGAATAAGTAAACTTGAAGGTTTTTGCTACACTGTGATTTGGACACATTTCCCTTTGCCTGTCTTAAACATTACAGATAAAATGCACTAGCATCATGTTTGTACTTAAGTTAATGGGTTACGTACTGTAAAAGCAAAGAAAGCAAATTCAGCTTTTCTTGTGTTTACATTTTGTTTCCTGTCTCAGCTTCTTGAAGTTAGAAATCCTGGGCTGGAACTTTCCCTTTTGTCATTAATACTGGATGGAAAATCAACACGATGTTTTCTGTCTGTGTTTCTCTGTAGTGGTGGAGAACTGCTCTCCAGGAAACCGCCAGCACCCGTACAAGAAACCCTTCACTGGTAGCTCACCAAGTGAGGGCGAGTCTTACTATCACCCCTCCTCCTACCCTCCTCCTCCACCCGGTCTATCCAACAACCCTGCCCTGGGTCTCACTGACTCCCCCTACAGCTCAGACATGGGACAGCGTCAGGCATGCATGTTTGCCGGCTCAGAGCCCAGACTGGATGAACTCAACTGTACATCCTGGTCATACACATGCCCACTCCCATCTGCCATGACCCCCATGGAGTCCTACCCACCTTATACCCCTCATCCTCCCTACAGCTCCAGCCCTCAGGGCTCTCGACTCAGCGCTATAGCCCACCAGAGCTCTCCGCCGCTGGGAGAACAGATCGCCCACGACCCCTACCAGAGCCAGAGCTCTGGACCTCCATCTCAGAGCTCCCAAAATGTTCACAGCAGGCAGCTCAGCCCTCCTCTTAGAGAGTACCCTCGCTACACGCCCAACCTGTCTCCTCCTCTCTACCACACACTAGAGACTCACACACACATCAGGTGTGGAGTCCCAGAATGGAGTGCAGCCTCCTAACTGAACCAGGATAAACCAGAAAGACTGATTAGTGGACAGAGATTCCTCTTCTCAAATTCAGTGACCCCTCTATCTGCTCTTCTGAAAGATGCTGCACCGTATACGGACTAAATGTGATATTACCTTTGTAAAATAATTGTGAAAAGTGTGATTTTGTGCTGTATGAAAAAGTGTCATCTTTTATCTTCTGTAATGTTTCTCCCTCGTGCTGGATGGAGCAGTGGATTGTTAAAAACTAGACATGGACATGCATGACGCTTCAGACGTTTAAAAAGAAAAGAGTCTGAGTAGCACAATCAACGTTGTACTTTGTCGTCTTTCCATAACTCAAAGACTGGTGTCATCCAAACATTTGCACTGTGAGCCCTGTTAAGGCCAGACCGTAAACAGCACTAGGCTGCTTCCCTCTCAATGGCTCCCACTCTCTACATTGTGAAGGATGTACATTGTGACCCACTGTCAGACAGGCAGTAACATTTTCTGACCAAAATAATCTCAGCTCTCACAGCAGAGCCTGAGGGAGACATTTTTTATCTTTAGTGGAGCAAAGCAACGCTCCACGCTCAGTCTCAGTAAAGGAGAAAAGGCTTGTGTTGTCTGTGTGTGCGTGATTGTCTGTAAAGCCTATGTCAGCTCAGCTCAAGGATGCTATGAGTTAATTTCCAATGAGACAGGCAGTAGTAGCCGCAGGCGCTGCACCATAGAGATAAACAGTTTGTTTAGACCACGCTACAGGCTGCAGGACCTGTAAACGCTGTTTCTACTGCATTCTGGGTAAATGCACAATTCAGCGTCATGCAGCTGTCACTGCTGTCCTCTTAGTCAACCCCAGGTGACCAATCGGCATTCTCTGTTTACAGAGAGCCAGCCAATGAGCACACGTCTTTCTTTTATCCCCAGCTGACCAGTTAGAGCTGGAGTGCAGCATGCTTTATGTTGGCCCATTTTTGTTTGTTTCTGAATTATTCATGAGTCCAGTGTTGATCGTTGACATGAGACGATTGCTCAGCAAACTCAAAGAAACACAGTGCTGTAAATGTGATAATATTGACGCTCCAACTCGTTTTAATATTCTTTTCAGTCTCTTTCTTTTGAATTTAAATGCTCCCTGTCATGTTCACACAACATTTCTCCATTAATTTATTTGACTGGATTGGGTTAAATACATTTCTCTGCAGATTTGGGTACCATTACTTTACTCCTTCTAGCTAATTGAACAGAAACGTTTGTAGTGGCCACTGTGCAAAATGCACACAAGCTGAGATTTTGATCATGAAGCAGTTTTTATATTTCTGCCCGGGTGTTTTACATGCAGTATAATGTGAGAAGGTGCTCTAACATTACAAACCATCAGTATGCAGAGAGCAGATCCTCATCGTTCTTTAATATGTATTTGGTGTATGTGTGTGAGAGAGTATGTGTGTGTGTGCGAGTTACAGTGAGATTTTTTATAGCCTTGTTCCTGCTAATAGTATTTATTACTCTAGATTTGTAAAGATTAGTTTGTTGTTAACTTGTGAAACAAGGCAGTATTGTTAAGAGATATTTGCTTCTCATTGAAGGTTTGTTTCTGGTTTCACCCTCCATCTACAAGTGGTGATAAATAGTTGTGATAAGCAAACACAATGTTCTGTTCTATGGAAATAAAGACAGATTTATATACAGAAATTGAATAAATTTTAGAGATTTTTTTCGTAAGTCAAGTGGTTGTAGCGTTCTTCTTTGTGATTAGACAACAAACACAGCAGAGACAAACCATTAACATTCCCAGTGGGTTATTTAAAGTGCGTTCAGCACCTCAGGAGTGGAAACTCTTTTAAGTGCAGTGCAGTTTATCAGTTTCAATGTATCAATATGAAGGACCTGATTACAAGAGTACCCTGCACCTTTTCACAAATTTATGTTTCAGAAGTGTCCAACAAGATCATTCAACACTGTAATTCTTTAAAGTTTAACAGTGTGCTGTCTTATCAAGCAGAAAGGAACCCCAGTGTCTCTAACTCTTCCACTCAGCAACGAACCCCCACAGAGTGGTGTGGGTGCTGGGGTGCTGTGCATACCTTGTCTGCCTCCTCTTATCTCTGACAGGTTGTTTGGCATCTCCAGTCTCCACCAGCTGGACCCCCTCACTGACAACCAGCTGCACAGAGAGAGGTGGGGTCTGCCGGAATGCAGGACAAAGAAAGGTGGGGGTGTGTTGGTAGTCCCCCGCTTTCTCTCCAAACCAGCATTTGCTCTCCTTCCTCTCTCCTGACATGTTTCTGTGTCTCTCACAGCAAAGCTAACCTATTACACCTTACACCTGCTCTGAGTTTACAACAACAAGAACAAATGAGAAAAGAGATTTATTTAGAAAGGTTGTTAAATCATTAAACTTCTAGCCCAATGTATTTACATTTAATTGCATAGTTATATGTCAGTTGTCAGACCTCCCTCTCTCTCTTTCTTTTTCTCTTTCTTCCTTTCTCTCTCTTTCATACACCATAAGGTCAGAGGTTAAGCAGGCAGCTCTTCAGAGGGTCTGTTCCTCCTTAACCCTTCGTCTCCAGACAAACCCAGGCCGGGATGAGGAGGAGGCGAGATGAAGGGGGAGAAAGAGTGAGGTCCCATGCAGGGGCCTCCAAGTCTGAAGATGGATTGCATCACTTCATGCATGCATGTACAGTAACAGAGTTCTGTGGTGACCTCTGTATGGCTGGAAGTTAGCTGGGAAAATAAGGCTTTGGGTAAAGTAATATTAAACACAGAGAGTGTGTGTTTGTGTGTGTGTAAAGGACCTTAATCCCTCTGTGGAGGACTTTCTCAGGCACACTGGTCGGACAGTAGATTGATGAACCTTTGTGATCAAAGAGCCTAAGTGGTGCTTATCATTATCCCCCAGACGCCCCCCCAACACAGGCACACACACACACACACACACACACACACTAGTAACCCCTCCACCTGCCCTCTACATATTCTCCTTTTCTCGTCCTTCTCCACTGTTTCAAACAGACACACAGCACAGACCACTACATACACACGCATCTTTTCTTGTTGTGTGCACAGGCAACACACCACGTTAAAACAAAAAAAAAAGACTGACATTTTTAAATGTCACTCATTTGGCCCGCAGACTAAAGATTTTGTACAGCGACTAAACTGGGAGGCTTGCTGAGGAGGGCTCATGTTTCCGTTGTATTGTACATTAAAGCTACTGTCCAGCTAAGCAGAGCAATATCTCTTGCAAAGTAAGCCTTTTTAAAAAGCATCAAAGAAAGCTTATTTCATTACAGTCTGAACTATTGGTTTGAATATATAAATGTTTATTTGGAGTCTCTTGCAGGGCACTGAGAGGCATTTGTGTGATGTCTAGCATTAGTGATGCCATTTTGTGTGGAATAAGTGGTCTGAGATGGACTGTAATTGGTAAAGTTGATTATGGTTCTGATGGTACTCCGTCTCTGTGGCAGTAAAGTGTGACAGCATGGCACAAGTATAACAGTTTTTATGCTGGTACACCGGAATGCCACAATTTTGGGGAGTAAATTGCATGTATCTGAGCCTATAGGATTTTTTCTTTCTCAATTTCTTTCCAGAAATTTTTGAAAAATATTTACCAAATCTTTTTCAGGTGAGTGTCAGACCAAGTGGGAATCGAAAGTTGAGAAGGCATTGTTGTAAAATGGGCTCATGGCAGTATCAAACCAATGTTAATATACTAAGCAGTAAGTATGTGTAATTAGAATCAGTACATGCTAAATGGCACTAAGAGGACAGCACAATGGTAATAATATAATGTAAAACAATGAATGCTTGGCTATTATATATGATGTAACAAAGTAGGCTGGTGGAGATTTATTTGACTGATACAATCCATCCTTGTTGTTATTTAAAAGCCACAAGAATGGTCTAATGCTGTTAAGCACAGTATAGCAACAAGACTGAGACCCGAGCTAATTTCCTCCTAAATTAGAGTTTATGGCTGAAACAGCCCTGAAATCGCTGAAGTAGATCTTAATATGAGCATGAGGGCTGTCAAGGATAAGAGGCCAAGTAGGAGTGTGTGTGTGTGTGTGTGTGTGTGTGTGTGTGTGTGTGTGTGTGTGTGTTCCTGGGTTGTCCTGTGTGTTGCCTCTAAAAGACAAAGGGAGAGGTTATGGGTCAAACTAACAGCAGACAGGCCAGTCCAGGGTCAAAAGGCTCAGACTAACCTGATCAGTGATGGTTGTTTATCTGACGACCCTTGAACTGGCACCCTGATGAAGCTACCTTATCTTTCCCTGTCATGCTGGACTCTCACTTTTAGACCAGTTCAACAAAATAAGTGCCAGTTTTGAAGAATAGCTGAACCCACTGAAAGAAATAAACATACAAACATCCTGAAAAAGCTGATGTCCATGGTCTGCGTTGCATACCATGTGGCCTTCACGTCCTGGGATTGGACTGGATTGGAGAATCTCCCTGATTTTCCTGTCACTCTCTTCAATGCAAGCAAAGCTTTTAAAAAGGACGCTGTGATGTGAGCAAGAATAATTGTTTTAACTCCTAACATCCCACAAAGGTCCCAAGACCGGCAGCCAAACATGCATGACGGTGAAAGGGATAGAGGCGCTCCCGCAGTGGGTGGTGGTGGGGGTTGTGGGACGTCATGGAGCCAGTGTCCCGTCTGATTACAGCCAGAGTAGTGGAGAGGCACGCTAATCCTCCACACACACACACACACACACACACACACACACACACACACACACACACACACACACACACACACACACACACACACATACACAAATATAGATACACGAAAGCACTTTCTTTGAGACAAAGACACACAACCAGCGAGACAGACAGACATGTAGACACGCACATACAGACACACACAAACCTATTCAGTCAAGAGATTACACCCCATACCCCCAGACCTCACTCTAGTCCCCTTGTCCAGACAGGACACACAGCATAATGATATCACTAGCAGCAGGACTTTGCCGCTCTGCTTGTTTGGTCACTGTACAGACCCACTGTGGCCCCTCACAGTCTCCCAGTTTTGAATAAAGGAACCTTGTCAGGTCATTATTGTGCTTGAGCCCAGGGCCGCAGACAGGATTTTAAAAAAATTCTCAGGTCATGAGTATAAGTTTTTGCAATGCAATAAAAAGAAAATTAGATTTTTAAATTCAGAAAAATCCTTGTCTGCAGTGTCATGAATAAAATTCTGTGGGTGAAACATTGAATCCTTTTTTGTTTATATGTATATACAATTTAATGGGATTAAAGCCAGGCAAAAACTGAACATACACAATGCAAAACCTTCCGGGTCTCTTTCTGCTGTTTACTCTGCTAAGCCCCTCCCACCACACCCACAAGTTCACACAGCACCACTAATAGGGCTCGCTCTCCACGGCAAGAGCCTCGCCAAGACCCTGGCACCTCTGGTCGTCTTCTCAAAGATGCCCCTCCAGTGCTTTGCGGTCCGCGGGCCGAGCGATGAGGATGACAGGCTAGTACACCACACAAACATCATTGTCCCCTCTAAAAAGTTATTCCCCACTGTTTCTCATCATGCATCTTTGCCACTGGACTGGACACCCCTGATTTGCATAAAGTAGCCTAGACCTCAAATGTATGCAAATGAGGAGCGAAAACGCACCCCGGCGTTACCAGAATGTATTGCATGCAAGTGTGGAAATTACTGATCCTATGGACATTTACCATAAGAGCATGCACGGGGGAGGGGGCTGCGTAGTGTGTATACCAACAGTGATTGACATGAGCAGTGATTGACACATTAGACACTGCTCCTGGCTTTGATAAGATGTTTTCATTCAGGCACAGTTAATTCTCGCAAATGCCATTAGGAGCACATCACCTGTCTCATATCCTGTCAGGATATAGTGACAGTTTAATTAAATATGCCAAAAAAAGTTACTGTTATAAAAGTTACCTACTGAACCTTTAAAGGTGTAAATGTATCAAATGACTATGTGAAAAATAAATGAAAAGGATTGCTTGTAGTGATGGACCTACAGAGAATTATCACCAGAATCGCAGCTCTCCTCAGCTTTATTAAATTTTTTAGTAGTCTTGTCCACAAGATTACTGTTTTGGTTCACTCTCACTTCTCTCAGTGTTGTTTCCGGCCACAGCAGGCAGCAATTTTCAAAGACAAATGTCCACTGTACCCTATTCGCTTTTTTACTAAAGAGCTAGATATTCCCTTCAGGGGTTGGTAGATATCGTGGTAATTGTATATTGCTGGCAAGGGATTGAGCAAATAACTGAGTTATGACAAACCATTGTCTTTGAAGAATTTATTAATGAAAGAGAAGAAACAGAGAAGTACATACAGCTGGTCCAGATTCCTGCAGCCTAAAGCTGATGATACACAGAGCAACTTTTAGAGCAATCATGCAGAACAACGTTGCCGTCAATGGTAATGAGTAAAGATTACTACCGTAATCCCCTTCCCCCACCACTCCGCCACCCACCCCGCACCGCTGCTATCCGTCCAAAACATAGTCGGACTTGCCACTAGCAAGATTGCCCAGTAAAATTGCTCAAAAAGTTGTATATCCTGTGTATCATGAGCTTGAGGCAGCTTCGGGTGTCTGACCCCTAGCAACAATAATAATAGTAATAATAAAAAATTAAATGTAAAAGGGAAACAATTTTCTGCCACAACAGTAGAGACT